GAACCAAAGCCAAATAGAAAAATGAGAAGACTTGGGCTGGGCGCTGTGGCTCACGCCTGTAATCCCAGCACCTTGGGAGTCCAAAGCAGGTGGATCATGAGATCAGGAGTACAAGACCAGCCTGACCAAGATGGTGAAACCCCATCTCTACTAAAAATACAGAAATTAGCTAGGTCTGGTGGCAGGCACGTGTAATCCCACCTACTTAGGAGGCTGAGGCAGGAAATTGCTTGAACCTGGTATGTGAAGGTTTCAGTGAGCCGAGGTCATGTCACTGTACTCCAGCCCGGGCGACAGAGAGGCTTTATCTTCAAAGAAAAACAAAAATGAGAAGGGAGAGAGAGAGAGCAAGAGAGAGAGAGAGAGAGTGTGTATGTGCGTGTGTGTGTGTGTGTGTGTGTATGTAACAAGTGTTTGGTGGTTAAACATAAGAGATGGTCAGCCTTATGTAATTAGAGAAATGTGAAGTTAACCTGATAGACCACTTTTTTCCCTTTAAGGATACCACTTTTTGACTATCAGATGGGTGAAAAGGAAAATATAGGCCAGGCGTGGCGGCTCACACTTGTAATCCCAGCACTTTGGGAGGCCGAGACAGGTGGATCACCTGAGGTCTGGAGTTCAAGACCTGCCTGACCAACATGGAGAAACCCCAACTCTATTTAAAAAAAAAAAAAAGAAGAAAGAAAATGTATGACAATGTTGTCTGGTTAGCAAGGCTGTGTGGAAACACATTCTAATGCATTGCTGGTGTGAATGCAAACTGATGCAACCTTTCTGAAGAATTTGGCAACATTTAACAAAACTACTGGTGCATTGACCTATTGACCCAGCACTTCAAGGAAACCCTACCTTAAAAGATGCACTTCTAGCAGTATAACAGTGCATATGCACAAGGTTGTTCTTTTCAGTAGTTTATAATTGCAAAATATTGGAAACTGCCTAAATGCCCGTATATAGGAGCGGTTAAATAAATTATGGTATAAGAGATGTCCATACTTGGAGTATTATGCAGCTGTAATAAAGTATGAGGAAGACCTCTATATGCTGATATGGAGTGATTTCCAGTTGTGTCAGGGGTCCCCAAAACCACATGCAGGTTTTGAGATTTGCTGAAACTCACAGGACTTGGCATTTAGTTGTTCTCACAGCTACAATTTATTGCAGTGAAAAGATAAAAAGAAAATCAGCAAAAGGGAAGGGGTCATAGAGCAAAGTCCAGAGAAAATCCGGCGTAAGCTTCCAAGAGTCCTTTCCTA